TGCAGGGGAATAAGACTGGAAATTACTGAAGACTCGTTTCAGGCCGTTCAGAATCGATTCTTTCTTTTATGAGACAATAGAGAGCCCAAGTCCCTCCCCTCCGCTTCCGGCTCATGGGACCTTATTTCGGGAAAGATATGTATGGTAGTCAATGGCGAGAGACAACTTATCTTTTTATTCCGTCTGAACTGTGCCCTGAATTACACATATGATGTTTGTCAATTTAAAAGATAATTATGAAAGTCAAGAAAGTCGCAGTTTGTCATAAAACAGAAGAGTAACATTTAGTTTTATGTGGAAATCGCTCGATGAACTACATCTCCCGGGAAGCGAAACAACGAGCGAGATCCGCTGCTCGTGTGTGTGCAGTCTGGTACAAAACACTCAGGCGTGACGGCGTAACGTTACGATTATAACGCAAGACTATAGAAACAATGACAGACGTTAGCTTCAGTAAAGTTAGCTTCATTCATTGAGAGAAAATGTGCGGCTTTGGGGTTTGTAGTCTTTGTAAGTATTTTCACAGTCTTATACCTCAACAGTTTCACATCAAACTGCGACTTTCTTGACTTTAAAATGTATCTTTTAAATTGACAAACATCATATGTGTAATTCAGGGCACAATTCAAACGAGATCAAAATATTTGTTGTCTTTCGCCATTGACTACCATACAATATTTTTCCGAAATAAGGTCCCGTGGTGGTCGACCGGAAGGGGAGGGGCTTAGGCTCTCTATTACTTCATTTATCTGCACTTTGATCTTTGAAACTTCACAAAAAGTCATATCACACATTACATGAAAGGTAATATCCGAAAAAGCATAATAGGGGCACTTTAACTAATAATATCATAGCCTAACATCCACAATCCAATAAAATCAAGTTGCATTTAAACCTAATTCCAACCCAAACATTATTTACCACTAAATATTCAGATTCATCACATAACACACATCACATAAGGAAAGATGCAAATATGATTTGGCGTTTACCTTCAGGCGTGTGACGCGTTTCTTCCAGGAGCGGAGGCCTGACAGATAGACCTGTCTCAGGGCCTGATGGGACAGCTGCAGGTCGATCCCCTCAGGGGTGATGGTGAACTGAAACGCCACGGCCTGATGGGCTTCTGCCATTTCTGAAGAGAGTGTGAGACGAAGACAGAGGCTTTTAAAACGGCGGCTCAAATTTCACTGCAGCAAAGCTCCTTTATGCATGCAGCTCTCGACGTATCCATCCCGGAATATCTCACTTATACTTGATCCCCATCCATTATGAATCAACAAGTTTGACATTTTGAGTTATGATCCATTAAGGCAAGAGCAGTGCTGATACAGACATTTCAGTTAAGGGTTTGTTTTATGCTTATGAAATAGTGGAGAAGCTCTTTCCGGTCTGTGTAACGAACGGAAACTCCCTTTTAAAACTCATTCTTTTTCATTTCTCATTCGGACAGAACAGACACTTACACTTTATGTATAAATCAAACTTATAAATAAATAAAACAACTCCCACATCTACATCCAGACAAGATGTATCTATGGCAACAGTGTTGTTATGGCAACCAAGAGCAAAGGGTTCCCTCGTGACTACCAGTCTGTTGCTCAAGCAAAACACTGATACAGAATTCATCAAGATTCACTGTCTATGTGCGCCATTAAATCTTTATATGTACAGTGACTTACACAGGCTTGGTAAAAGAAGCTTTACACTGTCAAAGCACAAAGCATTTTTAAAGAAATTAACATGCCTATACATTTGCACATGCATATAAACAATTCATTTATACCAGTGACAGATAAGCGTTGTTAGTGTTAACTATAATATAAATAGAATATATCAATTCTATTATATTTCTATTTTAGAATTATATAAATAGAAATAGAAATATAAAAAACTACTAAAAAAGACAAAATTACAACAAAATGACTAAATGAAAACTGAAAATATAATAAATATTAATATAATTAAAATATTAATAAATACTATAATACTAGTATATAAATAATAAAGTAACAGAAAGGTGATAAAAAGAAGACATTACACAATCTGAATGTAATTTTTTATGTCATGAGTTCTAAACCATGTGACCTGACCTGGACAAAACATACTTTTTCATTTCATCAAAAGTTTTGTTCCCAAAAATTCAGATAAAAATATGCTCCACTGTTTATATTTCCCAACACCCAGGCTAGTATTTTTAATAATATATATATAATATATATGATAAAAAAAATGTTTTTATGTGTAAATACATTTAATCAAAAATAGAATAAAAATAAGCTCACTAAAAGATCTGGTAAGAAAGAAAGTAAAAAAAAAACTTTAATTATGCAAATAAACAATCTCACGTCATCACATGGGGCGCTGCTTTCTGGGAAAACATGCAAATGAGGCATTTACAACTGCACCATCACACGTGACCAGAGGAGGGCACTGCACAGGGATGAATTGAATGAACTTTAACCCAATTAAAAATAACGAGTGAATCATTTCACATATGTTGCACTAAAACACTGGAGTATGATCTTTTGGAATCAGGAAACATAATAATATTCAAATCATTTTAAAAAAAATAGTCAAAAAGATATAAGACCGTAATGGACAGGTGCCAGACTTTATCAGGGGCTTATCATTTAAATTGCAATTTAGTCCTCCCACAAGAAACCGACTCTCTGAATTATAAAACGTGTTTAATGCATAACAGTAGCAATGAATCAGTAACTACCCATATTAATCAAAAAAAAAAAAAAAAAAAAACCTAGCGGGCGAAACAAACACAGAGCCAGAAAACACACTCATCCATTATAAACTAGCATTAGACGCTTGATCAGCAGGCGAGGAGGTTTATAAAGGTCGAAATGACAGCATGCAGCTGACCTGGGAGTCTCCTGTCATTAAATAGCGATGGATTTGTGGGCTATTGCAAGTATTATCAAGGCCAATAACGGATTGTTAGCACACCAGCTATAAAAACCGGCAATCAGTACAAAATACCCCACACATCTCCATCACCCATCGTCTCCAACACACTACAGATCATCATGCATCCGATGTACATTATAGTGTCAGAAAGCATCATCCCTACCTGCTGTTTACTGATGTTACTGATGACGGGAACAAAGTGACGGGCTCCTTTCCTCCCTTCTGCTTTTGAGGAACATAAACATAAAAAATATGTACTGATAATCTCGTAATAAATCCCCAATATAGATGCTGATAGCTCACTGGTGTGTAGCGTAACTGGATACAAAGTACCTTTGATACTTAGTGCGAAAGAATGTAAAAGATACAGCGAAGAGGGCGGGAAACAAGCGGCTCGGAAGTGAGCTGTGATTGGTCAGGAGACGATGACGTCTCCGTGGAACAGCTTGACGCGCGCGGTGGCAAATGAGCGAATAGAATGCCGCGTAACGCGCGGGGAACTTCGCTGTGATTGGACGTCTCGGCTGCCAATCAAAGATTAAGGACGGTCAGGCAGCAGTTTACAACATGGCTTAGTTTAAGCATGTATGCGGACGCGGAGCGGGGAGTATAAAATAAACATTTTGGTGTGTTACTATCAAACAAAGGTCAATATTCGTGCAAAATCATTACCTGTACGTCATACGCAACCTCTGCTATGATTATGTGGTCAATTTAGTTCATAATCTTATTTTAAGTTTATTATCACTTTACAACTGTGGGTCAATGACATGTCTAAGGAAATATAAAGGAAAATCTTTTTAAAAATATAGTGCCATCATGGCCATGGGAATTTCTTAAAATGTTAAAGTATTAATGTCAGTTTCTAACATATAATAATAAGATACATACCAAAGAAGATATTTTGAAGAATATGGGTAACCAAACAGTTGATGGGCCCCATTGACTTCCATGGGGGGAAATACTACTGTATGTAAATGGTGTCCATCAACTGTGTTTGGTAACCCATATTCTTCAAAATATCTTCCTTTGTGTTCAGCAGAAGAAAGACATTTATACAGGTTTGGAACAAGGGTGAGTAAAGTATGACACTATCCCTTTAAAGATTTTCCAGGATTCATTCCTTTCCATATAAGTGGGGAAAGACCACCAGCTCCTCGAACCCCCCTTCCCTTTGGCTTACATAAGCTGTTCACTGACCTATTTCACAGCAGGAATACCTGTGGGTCAGCATGGGACAGGCTTTACCCCACTCTTTCATTCATATCTTTCACCTTTCCCACAATTATTGATTCCTGAAGTCAACAGGCTCACAATGTGGACTCTTATTTGAATCTGACCTCGTGTTGAGTTCATTGAATCTCACTTAGTTAGATCAGCATACATTATTTAAATAGCGCCATCTAGGTGTTTACTGATACAATGTTTGCAGACTTCCATGAAGTGTGGCTTTTATTCTGATAAACTGCATTAAAGAACTTTGCATCCATTTTAAAATACGAGTGTAATGTCAGATAGATAGATAGATAGATAGATAGATAGATAGATAGATAGATAGATAGATAGATAGATAGATAGATAGATAGATAGATAGATAGATAGATAGATAGATAGACAGATAGATAGATCAAAACCTTTTAGTTACTCAAGACAGCTCAAATTTCCATTGTGAAACCCAATGGGGCATGTTGTCACAATGAACAAAACAAAATTTCAACAATAAAACAATTATGAAATAATAAAATGTAAAACAAGCATTGCAACAAATACTGTATTATGACATTGGATACATTTATACATTTACATTATTAACATTTACAATACATGACAACTTGCCCCAACCAGACATGTATGGTTTCGCAGTCATGACTTTCACAGTCACAGGCAATTATTTCACAACCTTTATTATATACACCTCAGAAAAACACCGAGGTCCGGAACACGATGAACTCCTAGCTGCCTACCGCAACTTACCCCGGTCACCCCTTTATGCAAACAGAACAAATTCCCAAAACAAACAATATTGGTGTAGTAGGATTTTTTTAAAGCGCCGCTCAATTTGACCACACGAGGCCGCTGTTTTTCCTCTTCCACTGACAATGACAGGCGGCAGCGCAGCATCCCGCATCACACAGAAGGATGCTGGCGACCATGTCTGAAAAAACACATACACAAATGGCTGACGAGGTGGAAACAGCGATGTAGCTTTGAAGATGCCATTCTTTTTGCTCTCTCGTTTTCTTTTCTTTCTATTTTTGTCCAGTTTTAAAGGGACAGCTGGCAAATCGATCCCTGAAAGGGAAGCTCTCGGTGAGTAGAGAATAAAGGGGCGCATAGCGGGTCTGGATGAGGGAGTGGTGGGCTATTTGTAAAACATCGAGCAAACGAGCTAAATATGAATGCAAAAGCATATCATTTGTATGCATCAGCCTCTGATTGCTAAATGCAAATTCCGAAATGCAGATTTTTGACGAATTTTACTCTAAATGCATCGCATGGCTATATAGACCAGAAACAATAAGTGTATATTATTGCAATCCTGGCCTTTTCCTGTTAGAAATTCCTAAGCTATTGGCTGCACGAAAAAGCATATTGAATCTAAACAGCTTTTGGTGTGCCTGTCAATTATTCAAATCTAAGATTTACTGAGGCCCACTGGCAGCTCATTACAGGCGCATTAGAAGTGTGCTTATTTATTACTTCAGCTGTCTATATGATTGCATGCTATTGTTCCAGAGTGAGCTGTGAATGCTGTTTGAGAGCTGCCTCATTTTTTTTTATGAGAATCATGAAGCTGTCTGTGCTCAAATCTAAGAGGTTTCTATACCCATTGGGTCTTTTAGTGCATCATATAATAGGTTAAAAGGACCATTTATTATATTTGATGTTTGACGTAAATATGTCTGGTAATGCTATTGCCATGCATCTGGTCATGTGAACTTGTTTTATCCCTCTCAGAGGTGCAGGTGAGGGTCCAGGTGTTTGACGGCGGTGATCTTTCACCCCTGTCCAACGCTGCTATTACGGTTCATGGGAACCAGAGTGTGCTGGCACAAAGCAAAGCAGGCAGTGATGGTGTACAGGTGGTCAGCTTTCTGTACCGCACAGGAACATGGGTAATCATTACAGCATCTCAGAGAGATTACCTCACCAGCTCAGTGCCATGGCACGCCAGCCGCGTACCCTGTGAGTAAACATAGAGAATCTGTAAAAATCTGTCATTGACATCGGCTAATTCTGATATACTGTAGGTGAAGTTTATATTGATGTCCGTTATCATGCTGTTCAGTGTGGCATAACAGACATCTGTGGCCATTTTATTTGACTACTTTTTTAACAAATCTCTCTCTCTGTTAGTATATGCCTCTGTCAGTCTTTACCTGATCGCCCAGAAGCCTGGCACACTGATCCTATATGATGATGTCATCCAGGTCTTTCACGGCTCCCCAAGTAAGAAAACATCTGTGATCTTTAAAGCAACTTGTACGGTATATACACACGATTATCACAAAATCCTTTTCACATAATATACGATTATTATTATATCGTATAAGTGACACTGAGTTGACAAATGCATGGCATGTGCCCATATATCAATATTTTCTTCTCTTTAAAGCTTTCAGCTTATGTCAACCTGACACTTCAGTTTCCTGCAGCTGTCACCATAGCAACAGCAGAAATATCCTAATGCCATTACAGAATCTTTTTGCATCTGAATCTGCTATCTAATTGCTCCAATTCCACTATAATCATAGGGCATTTATTGTGGAGGAAAGACTATATCTGTGGTGTGCTTTGGAGAGGCTTACATTTCACAAAATGTTAGAACAAAGGAAGTGAATTGCCTAAGTGGGAACCCAGCTATATAGCGTACATTACATTTAGTGATTTATCATACGCTTTTATCCAACACAGAGGTGGCTTTAGTTGTCATACACGCACATTAGAAGACATTTCTATGCCAAAATACAGTTGGTTTCCAAACTTAAGAATTCAGTCTAGTATATAATCATATAATAATGTTGGTTTACACAAACTCTTGTATAAAAATATTGTATACCCATACAAAACTTCAAAAAAGGAACATTTTTGAAAAAGATTGTGTAATTCTAATCTGCTCCATTTCAGTTTTGGCCATTGATGAACATTTCTGTGTGACTTCAAATTCTGGAAAATCCAAATCCACCTCAAATACCATCGATTTATCAAGAAACACATTTATGCCCAGACTTTTTAATTATGTGGCATATTAATCTCTATAATAAAAGTAGTAAAGTTACTGTGAGCAACAAGGTTGTTAATCAATGGTATTTGCTTCTGTTGAAGCCGTCATCCCGCATAATTTCAACTTAGTTTTAAATAATCGTGTTTAACAATGGAATTTGTGTTGAAAAACTACATTACCCATGATGCTGTACAGAAAATTCCACCAATCAGAGAGTGGAAACAAGCAACACTCTTTAGCTCCGTCCACTCCCATGAAGCACTGTGAATGATGTAATCGATTGTAAATGAGTAGTTTTGTTTCTCCATCGGTTTTAATTCGATTATGCTGTTCGCAATGCTTCATTGTAGTTCTTTGTCTCACTAAATCCGTTAAGCACAGTCTTCTCTTGTACCTTTGTAGTTTTGTCCCATTTTCAAAAACTTCTCGTAGCTGATTGTCTTGGTTCATGGCCTATAACTCTTTAACAATTACTTTTTTTTAAATCCCTATGTGAAAAATGAATGGAAAAAATACTTCCGGAACCAGTGCCGCTGAAAAAGGGGGCGGGCGCTAATGTACTCTATTACTGTTTAAACCTTCAGGTGGGCGGAGCCAGCCATGGCTGCAAGTTCCAAGGCGGAGCCTACAGTTTAACTCCTCCTACACAGAACTGACCGCAGTATTAACAACAGCCAGAGAGCAGAATGAAATCAACTCATTCCCTTACCCACTCGCTCTGGAACCAAACAACACAGGTCCGAAAAACACTACAGTCTTTCTATATAAGACTAAAAATTGTGAGATAAGAGAGTCTTGCAGTATGAAAGAGATCTGTAGACAATACAGTATATTTATGATGGTGTAACTGTGCTAAGGAGGAGAGAATGGCTGGACGGACCTGACAACGATAGCAGCGGTCAGTGCACAACTGTTTGACCGCGAGGGTCGAGCGGTTGAGGTCACCGAGCCCGTTCACATCTCCGTGCCTCTGCCTTCTGATACTCGCATACGATCCGCAACCAGCATTCCTGTATGGATGTACGACACCAAGACAGGTATGTACTATCATGCTTAAGACACCTTAAAGACATGCTTTTATTTAACAAAGTCCTCCAGAAAGTCCTGCTAAAGCCCAATCAATGCTAGCTCATCATTTTGTAAATAATGCTATGTGTTTGTTTTCTAGGACTATGGGTACGAAATGGAACAGGATTTATCACTCGAGAGGGAACACAGCTAACGTGGGACTTCACTGCCTCCCAGCTTGGCTACTGGATCGCAGCCTTCCGTTCTTCAGCAGGTGATATACTCAAATGCAACCGCATTGGTTTACGCCAACAACAAAAAAAGCACACGAAGGCTGAGCATGCTTTGTATTTGAACACTAGGCTCAGGTTTGTCTCACCCAGGCCTGAGGGACATCACGGCCTACCACACCTTCTTCCTGCTGTCCATCCTGGGATCTCTGGCACTGCTGGTACTAGTCTTACTCTGTGTCCTACTCTACTACTGCAGGTGTGTACTAGTTTGTCTAAATCATGTGTTATTATAAGCAAAATAGGCTCATTGGAAGAACATGCCTCCTCCTAAAAAATGTTTAACCAAAAAAGTATTTATACATACCAAGTGTGCCGCACACATCTTGAAAGTGAAGCATTTGGATCGCCCCCTGGTGGCTGACTGCAGTACAGGTCTTAAACCCCGCCCTCTCCATGTAAGCAAATGGGATGCAAGGCAAACTAAAAAATCCAATTACATTTCAAATGATTTTTTTCCCAAAGATGGTTTTGGTCATTTTAGGTACAGCAGTTCTCATCACGCAGCTGTATGTTCAAGTGTTCGTTTTCCCAATAAGTTTGGTTTTAGTTCGTTTTTCGATGCTATAAAAAGGGGGTAACATCATGATTGACAGCTGTGCTTGCGATTGAGTCTGCGGAAGTGTGGGCGGGTCCTTGATGCCACGGGTCCACCTCAGGATCACTACTGCGCAGACTTGGGCTCCGAACTAAGTTTTTCCCAAACTGGGATATTTTGGCTTTATTTTTCTACAGTGGAAGGAAGCGGAGACATGCTGTCCATCTTTTCTCACAGTCTATGATACATACAATTCACTTCAGTTTCCAGCTGAAAGGAAGGCAGTAAAAGGCCGGCAGCGTTTAATCCATTTCTCACAAATTATGATTAAAGGGGCAGATTATTGATTAATAAAGTTCCTTACACAATAGTATGTTATTATAACCTCAAAACACTTTTACCATATGTGTAGGATTTGTAAACAAATACGTTTTGAAATTTGCAAACTAAAATGGCATGGTTGCTTCAGCAAATGCATTTTCATCTTATGTTTGCTTAACATTTTCGGTTTAGTGTAGGTGGTACTTTAGTTTCAAACGCAATATAGCATTAAGCACCACGTGCACCAAGTTCAACTGCCACGAAATGTACAACAACCAACAACATTGCCAGATTCATGTTAATTGGTTTTGAATAAAACATGAACATGCTTTTTGCACCCCTCACAGGACATTTCACTTTGAAAATATTGTTAAACATGTGAGAAACGACGTACTATAAAATCATTTTGCAGCATGTCAGGCATGTCTTCCCACTGAACCTGGGTTGATTGTAAGATACATGTTACAAGATTACTAAATGTCAATATTTATTTTCCAGACGAAAGTGTCTGAAGCCCCGACGGCAGCAGAAACAGGTTCAAGGTCCATCTGGTTTGAACGGATCCAAACGGGACCAAGGCACCTCCATGTCCCACTTGAACCTCATCTGTGGTGGCCATGCTGAACCCGCTGCCTCCAATGGCAACTTGGACGCCAACAAATCCGAGGGATCCCCATCCCATGCCTTCAAGAGTGCTCGGGAAGAGTTTACCAGAAACGTTCCTGCCCATAAGCTTCGGCATTCCTCTAAGACCAAGCAGTCCAAAGGTGCCCAAAGAAATGCAGAGAGTTTCCCCATGAAGGTGCATCGATCCACAGATACAAGCAATCTGGACAGCAATCTTCTACACGAGGACTACGGACGCAACTACAGCCCCGGCGAGAAGGACGACTATCGCCGGAGGCACGTTGTCAATGATAACCGTGGCTACACGTCTGATCCGCCTTCTCCACCAAATGTTGACAAGCCACCGGAGTACTCGCAGGTCTTGCAAGGGCCAGATCACCTTGCTCGTCCAACGTCACTCAACACGCAACCAGGTCAGATTATATTCTGCAGCTCATTGGATCAGATGAAGGAGAATATGTACCGTTCTATGGTACCAACTCTTGTGATCCCGGCCCACTACATGAGGCTCTCGTCAGAGTTCGGTGGCACAGATCAGGGAAAGGATGGAGCGAACCAGGCAGACAGAGACGGACAGAGTTCACAGGGAGCCAGCAGCGGGATTCAAGGCCAAAACCACCAAGGCCAGACCCCTGGTTCAGGTCATTCAGAAGCCCAACAAGGTGCATCTCCAGCAGGCTCAGATGATAGTGTTTGGCCCTCAAGTGGAACACCAGGACCGGTTCACATCCCTGTTTTGTTCAATGACTCCACCATTTCGCAGATGAATGGGGAGCTACAAGCCCTCACGGAGAAGAAGCTTCTGGAGCTGGGGGTAAAGCAACATCCTCGTGCCTGGTTTATATCACTCGACGGCCGTGCCAACGCTCACGTACGCCACTCATACATAGATGTAGGTGCTGATCTCGGCCACGGAGGCACGCACAGCGGGAACCACAGCGCACAAAGCACATTGAGCGCCCCTGCCGGGAGCAATAAAGACCGAAACGGAGATACAAGTCTTCACGATACCCAACATGACCGCAAATCCGCGTCCGGTCGCAAGACCAAAGAGGAACACCACGGAAGGGGGCGCAAGGGCCACGGAGGAAACGGCGGTACAAGTGGCGGGAAACACTACTTTAAACCAACCTATCATGACCCTCTGGACCTCAGTGGAGGAGTGAGCCGCATGGGGGCCAGTTCGCCACTGGAAAACCCTTTGACCCCTCTTTTGGATGACGGTCCCGAGGAACCAAGGGGGTCTTCAATGCCGAGAAGGGGTCGAAGCAGGGGTAACAGCTCACGTAGTAGCAACAGCGAAACGCAACGTGACTCTGTCACCAGCCCAGAAGATGACAACGACCTTGACGATAAAGATGAGAACAAGAAAAGTCCCTGGCAGCGTATTGAAGAGCGCCCACTTATGGTGTTTAATGCCAAGAAGTAGAGTGAGAAAATCAATCCCAGCAGCTGCCTTGACCAATTAGACAAACTAAAGATGTGTTCGAATTGATAATGACTCGAATTGAAAGTTTTACAAATGTCACCCAAAAATGTTCACACACAGACTGATTATTTGTGTCTTGATAATTTGATTGACGTTTCCAAAAAAGAAGAAGGGCGAGTGCATTCAAATAAAGCACAACACATCAACACACAAAGAGGAAGACTTTGTCTTATAGTCTACGGTCATTTCCAAACCAATTAGACTCTTACAAACTATTGGATCCAAAAGTACCTTTTCACTCTCAATGATTTGGGGATAAAAAACTTTTTGAATGGATGGATTTTAGCTTGTGTCAAAGGACTTGATGTCTCCAGAACTTCATGTTAAACTTTAGAGAAGTTTCTTGTTTCCTTATGTTCTAATGCAGTATATTTATTGGTATCCCTTCGTTCTTCTACCTTCAATACTCATAATTTTGATGTCAATCCCTCATTCAATCTTCCATCTGAAATGTACAGTTCAGATTTCAAACATTCCAGATTTTTTACCGTTAGTCCTTAATTATCTTGAGGAAAATTATATTAAGGCTTTTTATGTTCACATTTATGTGTGATGTGATGTTATAGCAATTTCTGTAAGTTATTACATAATGCATTTTGATTTATTGTAATATGAAATCCTTTCCTTTTTAATGCCGTACCACATTTTTCACTCCAATGCACCTAGTTTAAAGCTAGCACTTGAAGATTTGTTTAGGAAAAGCTGATTCCAAATTAGGTTTTTCAATGGGACCCTGTTCTCACTTACAATGAAAAAGCATTGACTGTGATACAGTAGAAATGAATGTATATTCCCCACAATTAGCATTTTTAGTCGGCCTTTCGTTTGTTTAAAAGAGAGCTATTTGCATTTTGTGTATATGTATGATAGCCTATATGTGCATGAGATAACTAGTATAGGACAACAGATTTTTTATGCCAACAAATTAAAATAGACACTATTCAAGCATGAAAGTGGATGCTATAGATGCATCTTATATTGATGCCTAATGGGAAGAAATTTGCCAAAATTTCAAATGCCAATTTGAAATATTCTATACCAGTTTACAGGTCAAAACTTTTCCAGCGCTGTTAATATTCACGCTGTCTGTAACTTGCATTGACTGTGAAAAAAATCTGACTTTGCTCATTTTAAAAAGCCATTCAGATATTAAAAGCTAGTAATTTACGACACTTCTTAATTTGTTACTTTTCTATGGACAATTTGTCAAAAAACGTATTATTATTTGACTCGTGTTAACCATCATCAAAACAAGCACAACACTTGTATCATTTTAAAGCAACATTTTGAATGATTAAGGCAGATTTACAGGGTACCGTATGGAGCATGACGGCTGAGACACTCGAGAGCTATTTGATGACTATCAAACATGATAGAAAGAGACTTTAACAAAAATAGCTCTGCTCATGCTGATCTGATGCCAATCACATGTAGACCAGTGATTAATGCTGTCTCCTGCAATGACTGTCAACTCACAACAAATGACAGCGCTGTTGCAACATGTCTCATATGTGTGTTGCAACCCTTCCTTTCTTCCTTATAATAACTATTACACAAATTTGACTGGAACTGAGATTAAGCTCTGGATTATTCATCACAAAGTTGGCGATTAAGAGTGAGATTTAAAATCTATAGCTTACGCTGTTGTTGTGGATTTCTACAGAGGATTATATAGGCTACTATAAGTGCTGACACCCCTAATCCTCTCAAAATGTATAATAACTCACCCACAATTTCACTGAGGTTAGATTTGCACACTCTTTTTAGCACGAGGTTTACTCAAACCAATAAGAGCTGAAATCAAAAGCCATTCACTTCCTCCATCTGTTCAGATTTTGTTCACAACCTGTGGGTTATTTACACAGGAAATCTTTGTCAATGTACATGTGGTGCTCTAAAACACACTTCCCTCTGTACTGTGTAAATATTTCTCTCTTTGACTGAATATGAATATGGCTCTGATATGATGTTGTTTCCATTGTGCACAACAGATTTGCTTATTTGTTCTAAAATGTAACAGATGGATCTTTTGCAATTTTTATAATTTGTTCATAATATCCTAGAAAGATCACATGTGAAATGGACTGTTTCACTTCTGACGTGTCCGAAAGTCATGTGGTATAAAATAAAGAAATTCCATTTCTTGTGGGTTTTTCCCTTCATTTCTGTTTGTATTAAATATGAAACTGAAAGTTTGGTCTACAGCGCAGATGAGCTGTCAATCATCTTTTAGAGTATAGAAGTTTATTTTTTAACTTTCATTGCCCGCATATAATACCAGCTAATGCAATGACTCATTACAAATTGCATTGATGTGATGTGTTGTTCTTTATTAATTAATATGAAAAGATTTCACACAAAGATTTCACAATAATGACCTGTGAGACTAAATACTAATAGAAATACATTTTATTTACCCAGAATTCAAAGCTTTTTTCCTGAAAGTCTGGTTGTCTTGATAACATTTGATCTAAATCATATATAGTTCCACTCCTTATCATAGAACAAGCTTAAAAATGCAAAGACTTTTTGACAAATGTCAAAATAGAGCAAGGTTGTTCAATAAAGCCTCTTGGAAATCTGCCATTTCTACTCTTGCTTCAACATAGTGTAGGCCTACCTGCCTGTCATTGTATAAATAGGCCTACTACAGGCAATGGTAAACCAGTTTGTTGGTTCAGGCAGGGATTAATTAATTAACCTTCCCTGTAAAAAGCTTTGCTGAGACTTCAGCTGTGTACTCCACATTCTCAGACTTGTCTTTGCGCTCCAGGCCGCGTGTCGGCGCTAATGTGCTATGTTGAATTATTTACCAAGAGGAGGAAGAGAAAAACATTGCTTTCAAGCGAACAGGTCAATGTTATGTACACAAATAATGGGAATATATTTATCTAGTATTATTAAAGAGTCGTCAAACCCTTTAGAAACCCTCCATTAAGCGCGAGATTTGTGTTTTGGGGTTTCTTTGAGGCTCGTCTTTATTTTCGTCTAAATGTATATGCAGAAACGCGTTTATAATCTCTGTTTACAGCATAAGTAGGTCATTGCTGTTGGGTAACTGCGTTTTCTGTATATTTTTAACATTTTTAAATGTCAGTAGTGTTTATTACTATTTATAATCACATTATTGTTGTGGTATGAGTGATTTGAGCTAAGCAAAATTTGTCAACTGAATTAATATGTTTTACCGCACAATGTACAGATATAAACAAGTCAACAATCATAATGTTAGTTAGTATTAATAGAAATGTTGTTTGAGTCTGTCAGGTTTCCTACTGCTCTTGTAAATGCATATTAATGAGCCCAAATTTTCATTGAAATTCCAGTGGTGGCCGCTAGAAAGCGCCAGTGATCAATATTCTTGAGCCACATACTGTAAATGATAATGGGTAAATGATGCTTTCTGTCTGTTTCAGCATGTTTCTGGTGGGGTTAACCGGAGGGATCGCATCAGGGAAGAGCACAGTGTCTTCTCAACTCAAAGAGCTGGGCTGTCCTGTCATCGATGCAGATCTGGTTGCCCGAAAAGGTGTTTAGTACTGTTTTTATATAGGCCTATATATGGTGTATGTGTGTATATGTGTGCTTTATTTGTGTGTTTTTTCTCTGTGCTTCAGTGGTGAAGCCCCAGAGCCCAGCGTACAGACTGATTTTGCGGCACTTTGGACAGGAAATATTGTTAGACAATGGCGAGATTGACAGACAGAAACTGGGGCAGATAATCTTCTCCAACCCAGAGAAACGAAGACTTCTGAACTCCATCACACACCCAGAAATACATAAAGAAATGTTCAAACAAATACTGCTGTACTTCATCAAAGGTACACTCACACACAAAGCAGATTATGAGTAGGCATGAGTCTCGTGAATAAACGCTTGTGTGTGTGTTGTTCTTTAGGCTACAGGTATGTGATTTTGGATGTGCCGCTGCTTTTCGAAACTCGACGTCTCACTCGGTTCCTAACCCACACTGTTGTCGTATACTGGTATGATATACATATACATTTTTAAATCTTTTAGTTTCTCTGTTTTTCATAAATCATTGTAACGCGAGTCAGATTGGGTTGGTTACTTTAAAGTAGTTTTTAAAGCAGATAATAATGTTATTTTAGCTTTTATTTTATCCTATAGGTTTTCATTTTTATTATAGCTTACAGTAATTTAATGTTACTTTATATTTTTTTCAATATTTCTATTTAGCTATATCCACCTATTTATATACATTTAGCTATAATATTAATTTAATATTTGTTTCAGTTTTAGTCATTTTAGTACTTCAAACAAACTTTTTTCAGCTGCCAATTTCAAATTTTCATGGAGGTTTACGTTTACTTTTCCAGCTTTGCAAAAATTATTTAATAGTTTTGGGTAACACTTTATTTTAAGGTGACGTAGTTACTACATGTACTTACTATAGTAATAACAGTAAATTATACATAATTACCCAAGTAAATAACCCTAAACCAAACCAAAATATTACTCGGTACTTATTTGAGTAAGTACAATGTAACTACGTCACCTTAAAATAAAGGGTTACACTATTACAAGTTAATACAAGTAATAATAAGCAACTACATGTACTTACTCTAGGATTAGATTTAGTTGAGGGTTAGTTGCATGTAATTATGCATAATTTACTGTTATTACTATGGTAAGTACATGTAACATATGTAACAAGGACACTGTAAAATAAAGTGTTACCAAGTGTAAGCCAACACTGAAATCTCCACCTGACGAGTGTGTATTTTGGCAGTGATCCGGCGACGCAGCTGTCCCGACTCATGCAGAGGGATGGTTTGAGTCAGGAGGAGGCCGAAAAGAGAACTGGCGCTCAGATGCCCCTCAAAGAGAAGCGTGGACTGGCCAGTCACGTGATCGAGAACTCGGGCTCTCGCGAGGACACTCACCGACAGGTGCTGCGACTGCACACCAAGCTGGAGGACTCCATGGAGTTTCTGGTCGTCAGGGCGGTCGCCGTGGCAGCCGTCGCCGGGCTCGGCGGCCTGTTCCTGTATACAGTCAGACTGCTCGTCTCTTAGCAAACATACAGAACTCAATGGCAATAGAAGGGATAGTTCACCCAAAACTGAACTTCTGTCATCATTCACTCCTGTATGCATTCCTTGCTTTTTGAAGAATGCCAAACAACATTGGACCCCATTGACTTTCACACTAAGGCCTAATCCTGGCTTAATCTAACGCCTAAACTCATACAGGTTTGGAATGACATGATAATGAGTAAATGATGACAGAATTTTAATTTCAGTCTGAAAACAACAAAGAATAGGATTTTACCATTTTAAGTTTTTGTTAGGGTTTTATTGGATGTGTAACCTCACTTGACCTCACCACCGACAGCTAGTTTGCAGCCTGAGCTACATCTATGAAATCTCCATATTGACGGTTACTGTACACAGCTGTGTTATGTGATCTCTGTGGATTGTACGGTACCTCTAGAGCCCCGTGATATGAGCGCTATCATAGCACAGTAGAGCAAAAGCAAAGGCTGCATAAATATCAACACAATAATTGTGATTAATCTTAAATGTAATATATTGTATAAAATAGAACTGACAACAATGCAACTTTTTTTTTTTTTACCTCAATACACATTTATTTGTTAATTATGAATTCACGCTTTCATAAAATGGAACGAATGTATCAGTATCTTCTGCTGCTCTTTGTGAACATCATATATTTTGATCTATATCTGAATTAAACAGATACAACATCATCTGCTGTACTAAATTCACTCTTTGTGATGCTAAATGACCCATGCAGTGTATTTACCCAGCAAATATTAACGTGTCAACAGGAGAATCACACTTTGACATAAGCAAAAGTCGGAGTGCTGTTCTGAATATTAATAAGTCCAGATGGGGAAATTATGCAAGTTTTCGTTTTGGTAACCTGCAGTTGTTTCTTTAAAGAGCTATTTTTTTTAACCTGATTTGACCTATAAAAATTGTTTTGTGGGTATAAATGATCATATTTAGGTTGGTTTTGTTGATCCAGCTACATTAGCAAGAGCGTATATGTTCCTCTTGCAGTGTAAACATGAGTAATAAACATGTGCATCAGACGGACACACAGATATGGCAGTTGTGAGTTCTCTCTCTCTGTCTTCTTCACTCACTTCGCTTCATCTTCAGGCTTGGCCCATGGTGATGTTCTCTGTCTGTAATAAGCTGTTCTTATGCTAACACAGAGTGACGCGGGCCAGCGGCCCTGCACAGTAAGACCTCTGTGTGTGTGTGTGTTTGTGAGAGATGGTCAAGGTTTTAAGATTGTGCATCTGTCTTAATGGAATGGATGAGGATGGTGAGAGAGAGAGAGAGAGCAGTCCTGTCAGAGTGCTTTAGTCTATGTTCATCTGAAACAGAATCAAGTGTCTGCATATCAAGATGTAAAGTAACTAGAGTGAAAAGTAAACTTTTTGAACACTGTCACTTTGGGAAATGTTACTTTCGAGTGAAATTCACAGAAATATCAACTGCAAAAATCACAAGAAACATAATAAGAAATTATATTTTTGGCATAAAAGAAATGAAGCCTATTTTTTTTGCATAGTGATGACATTATTTTTATCTATGTGTATACACACACACACATATATATGTATATATACACACACATATACAAACTTTCATGTTAGATGCAAATTGATCACGACAGCACTAATATATATATATACTGTATATACACACACATTTATGTAATTAAAAATACAGGAAAAACAGTAATATTGTGAAATATTATTATTACATTATATTGTTATAATCATAAAAATGCTTCTATTTTAATTATTTATTTATTTTTTACATTTTTTTCTGTGATCAAAGCTGAATTTTCAGCATCATTACTCCAGTCTTCAGTGTCACATGATCCTTCAGAAATCATTCTAATATGCAGATTCTTCAATTTTCTAATCATTATCAATGTGGAAAACAGTGCAGAAAAGAAAACAGATTCTTTGGTGAATAGAAAGTTCAAAAGAACAGCAAATAGAATTGAAATATCTTGTAATTGAATAACCTTGAATTTGAATAATCTTTACAATCCCATTTGATCAATTTAATGCACCCTTGAAGAAAATTTTTCGGAAAATGGTAAACTGGTGGATAATTGAAAATGTCTTATTGGTCCTAAAAATAGGCATTTTCATCAAAGTTTTTTCTTTTTCTTTTGACTTGAGGAGACCCAGAGATGTTCATGACGGTTTTCATGAGATCCGCCCTTACACTGCTGGTTTGTGGTTTGTATGGGATGGCCTGCAACAGTGAAGCATTTGAGTCCGTTTACTGGGAGTAACTGTGTGTGTGTGTCCTGTAGATATGCCCCCACCCACCTCTTTCTCTCGCCTGCGGGTGTGTCCACATCATAACACACTGTCGCTGGTCGAGTCACCCAGCCCTATCACACCAACTCAGCTGGAAAACACCCACCTAATGAGAAGTGACAGCTGCTTTGTGTGTGTTTGTCAGCGAGCGTGAATTTCGGGGTGTATGCCGGCACTTACTTGATATACCGAATTTGACTTCTTAAAATATGGTGATAAAAGTGCACATCAGGGCTTGAAATGAGTGAATAAGCGTGTTTCCATGAATTCTTGGCAACACTTGTAATAATTTTCATGAAGAAAGTTAACCAACATGACTTACATACCCAGACAGCAACATAGTGTCGGCCCAGATCCGGCTCACATCTGGTACGCGTTGAATCTACATGAATGTGACCCGGATCTGGGCCGACACTATGTTGCTGTCTGGATAATGCTATTCTACATGCATCTACTTGAGCTCTTAAAGGTATAGTTCACCCAAACATGAAATTTCTGTCATCATTTACTCACTCTCATGTCGTTCCAATCCTGTGTGAAACACAAAGGGCCATGCAATAAAAATCAATGGTTTACGATTTTGTTAGATTCCCAAAGTTTTTTGAAAATATCTTTATGTTCTGCTGAAGAATAAAATGCATACAGGTTTGGATAGACATGAAGGTGAGTAAATGATGACAGGATTTTCATTTTTGGGTGAACTATCCCTTTAATGTGTCTCGAGAATAGGCAATCTGTCCCTTTAATAGCAATATCAGAAACTTTAATTTGCACCTCTGGAACAATCATAAAGCACATTTCACACAATCAATATATCAAGTAAATCTAAATTACAGCTACAGTACGTGACATTAGATCCCAGCAGCGCTTCCGTTTGTCATTTACAGTTTGGAGGCTGTTGGAGCAGATAAACCATCAGCTGGCACTTTACATGAGCCACATGCAGCCCACCTGCCAGTCTGAGCTCAGCGGGCCTGCGTCTCGCTCACAGCTAAAGGTGAGATCTGTTACTCGTCTGACTTCTGTGAACTCGCGTCAAACTGAGACTGAGCTGCTGCTGGTGTCATTGGCGATGAGAGGATGGACAAACGAATGTCCTCATCTGCTCTGCACCACGTTTACCTGAAGCCTTGACATTGCAAACTGACATTTACATGAACTGAGTTACGCAAAAGTCTGGGAGGAGATTGCTAATATAATTCCACCAATCACAACCAGCCCCGCCCCTTCATCACAGACAGCAAGCCACGCCCACCCCCCGTTTCCACGCCACTTTCTGGTTTCACAGACAGGGTTTAGATTAAGCCAGGATTAGGCTTTAGTTCAATTAGGACATTTAAGTAGATTTTATAAACGTGCCTTAGAAAAAAACATCACTGGTGTGCCTTGAGACAAAACAATGGCTCTGACTTTAAGATATACAAGTTGCTTTCAGTTAAAACAGCTCAAACGTGCATTTAAGTCTGGGACTCGGTTTAAACCTTGTCTGTGAAACTGGGGGTTATTATCTTAAATCATTTTGCTTCTTGATTTAGGAATTTTGAGTTTTTTTAGTGGAAAACGAGACACTGTCCACCCAACCCGATCTTAAGGCAATTCGTACGAATTTTACGAGGTGGCTAATTAATAACAATTCGAACGACCTCACTCGTACGAATTAGTAAGATTTTTGCAAAATCGTACATATTTTACGAGTTGCCCAATTCGTACGACCTACCCCTGACCCCGCCCCTAAACCTACCCATCACGTGGGTTTAGACAAATCGTACAAATTCGTACGAGTGAGGTCGTACGAATTAGCCACCTTTTAATCACTCGTACAAATTCGTACGAATTGGTCGTGAATTTTTCAACGCGGATGTAAGGTTTATTCTGTGAATGTGTGAGACTTCCGATTTATTATCAGGTATAGGGAAACAATATAGCAAAGTGCAGTAAACTGTATAGTGCTACAAACGAGCTTTTTATTAAGACAACATTAAAATAATATGGTAAGAAATATCAGGTTGAAATATCAAGCAGTATAACGAGCTGTGTTGTACAGCTAAAAATAACTGGAAGCGAATGACACAGGAAGCCAGACATATTAAAATTACAAATGGCCGCACCCGCGCTTACATGAAAAATTAGGTGTATATGTATGAGAATTTTTGTGGCAAATTCTTTTGAAGTAAAAAACTTGAAAACATACTGTTACTTTCAGAAAATGTCCTGCTTAGACCAAAAAAAGCATATACTGAAGCCATAATATAGCATATATTAAGCCAATCTTTTGTTAAAAGTGACATCTCAATGTTTAAAATGGCGACTATAGGAACGGAAGTCCCGCCTTACGGTTACAAGAGCGAATTATCTTTGTACAGACAGCAAAGAAAATGGACCACAATTTTTGATACAGTAGCCTACATTGTTGTCAGATTTTATTCCCGATTAAAAAAATGAGCGATGGCAAAAAAAAAAAAAACTTATTTTAACAATTCAAAACATTTATTTAGTTTAACTTGATACAAAAAAAATAATTAAATGAAAAATGAATAAGCCACATTGACATAAAAATTACAAAACACAACAAAATTACTAAAACTTGAACAATTTTTTTTTTGAAATGTATTTTATTTTGATAAAGTACATTTAGGTTTCAATAACATTTTATTATATTAAATTAAAATAAAATATAATTAATTAAACTAAAAACTAACTCAAAATTCTAATAAAATCTATAGTAGTCTCTAAATTATACTAAAAAAAGACTGGTTTTACAACTAATTATTTGACAACCGTTTATTCTAAATATTATATAGTAGATGGGAGTTGCATGGCTAAAATTACTGCTTGGGTTTTTTACAAATATGCCCACAATGTGATGACTTGCCTTATTAAACAGACTTTGAGTATTGCTAAACACCAGAAGAACTAATAGTAAAAGTAAAATAAAAGTTCACCAAACCTTTTGCTGTGTAGCAG